CACTCTGAAAACGCATCAAACGTTTTCCGTCCACACTACGCCGGAGGAATTTGAAAACCGAGGTTTCACTCTGAAAACGCATCAAATGTTTTCCGACCACACTACGCCGGAGGAATTTACAAACGCAACAATCACCAGTTATTTTGGATTTGGCGTTGAGGAAAACTCCATCGGCGAAATCACATGATTATCGTGACGCCATCGTTTTCGAAAAGCTCCGTTTTCAAAATGTTTTCCGTCCACTCGAAAATGAAAAGCCGGCGTTTTCAAATTTCTCTGGTTTGTATCGAAGAGCGTTTTTGAAAAGCTTCGTTTTCGTGACGGATTAGCGTGGACGATAGCACTAACCGTGGTTCTCTGGGTCAGATTTTTTCCATACGGACCGTTTCAATAGAGACGGTCGTAGGCCATGTTTTTTTTTGTTTTTGACTGCTATACTGATATTATATTACTTACTAACGTTCCTAGCTTGCTCAAGCCGAACTTGGGAATATCGGCCCTCGGTCGTTTTCGTACGGACCTCGCTGAGCTCGTCCCTTACTGCCACGACCCCGGGCCAATATTCCCCGGTAAGGTCGTTAGTGGAGTGTCAATGGAGTGTTCGTTGTTTTTGTCTCAAAGCTCGTCAACAAGGTGTTTTTGCTGCTGATAGAGCGTTTAAAATGCCACATACAAATTTGAGGCCCTTATCCTATGTTGTGTTACTTTAGCCAGACGCCGTGTTTGAATTTTCCGTGTGAAAATGGAGGCAGCTGTTTACCTGATTACCACAGTGGTCTTTATAAGTGTTCTTGGCCGACTGACTTTGGAGGAAAAAATTGCCAGCTTTTAAGAGGTCAGTTAAAATTCTTATTCAGTCAGGCCCGGCCATAGGCCATTATAGGGAGTGTCCCCCAAGACTTAACTTAATTTTCCTCAGATGAAACCGTCCTTATTTCTTTTCGATTTATTCTTATACTTTTTTAGTGTTTTAATGTCCTACTTTTATCCTTTAATTTGAAAGTAAACTTGAACGTCAGAAAAGTGACAATTTATTTTGTCTTTTGAGGCCACTATCGTTAAAAATGGTCATAAAAAAAGTAAGAAGTTCATGCCAACGTGTTCATGATTCGTTGTAAGCTCTGAGGACTGGTAAGAGTTCTTCCAAGCCAGGACGCTCTTGTAAAGACATAAAAGACAAAAACAGCCACGCCCTTGTGGACGGAGAGTACTGGATCGAGCCAAATGGCATAGAGACACCGTTTACTCGGTACTGTGACATGACAACTGACGGAGGTGAGGGCTCTTCCTTTCAAAATATCTGGGGACGAGAATTCTGTCTTAAATTAATTTGGCGAGGTAATGTGTGAATTTTTGTTTTGTTTTGTTTTGTTTTGTTTTGTTGTTGTTGTTGTTGTTTGTTCCCCGGGGTGGCTTGGATGGGAGCCAGAGGGACGTCATATCGGATAAGTACACCTCGATCAAATTATAACAATAATTCCATAGCTGTTACTGCCCAGGCCCTCTTCAAGCTCAAGGAGATGATTTCCTTTGTTCAGCTCCGTTGGTTCTGTTTCAAAAAGGCCCGGGGCCGAGTATTTCACGTGGCTACCTCAAACAATACCGCTGGCCACCATGTTGTTGACTACTTTCTCAAGGCGGTGGGTTACACTGCAGAAACTTGTCAATCATTCACTGTACTCCCAGATGACAATTCAACGCTTTCTCTAAACTGCGATGAGTGGGGAGGCAACGAAACTCATACAGCAGTCGATCGATTAGGATCTTATTTTAATCGAGGTCGTTTAAGGATGTACCGTAATGTATCTTCGTGGTTTGACGAGAAAAAATATTTCTCTGTAAAATCTCCGCGGTTTTTGTGTTGTGATGATGCCCCTGCAAATGGCGTGTCACCAGGAGATACTTGGGAAGTATATGCGCGATAGAAATAGACACACACTAACACCTATGGTGGACAGTTCTGTGCAAGACAGACACCATTACTCAAGACGGACACACACCTGATACAGATGGTGACTCCCATGAAGCACGAAAAATGGAATGTGAAATCGCGCACCTGTATAGCAAACTGCTCTCATGGTACATACTTAGCGAGCTCAGATCAGTCAGTTAACCATATTAATAATTTATTTACACTCATCTTTATGTAATGCTAATGTTCTTATTTTTAAAATTTACCCGGCAGTAACTTTCATTTTTTAGTTTCTAGCTAGAGAACTCATTATTAATTTCTCAGAGTTGGTTAAGTTGTTGAAGACATTCCTAGAGACTGTGATTTTCGGTCTTAAATTTCCTGATGGCGTCAGCATGAACTAACTGAACTGATGTCTTTTCACTGTATTCTGTTTATAACTTTTTCCTGTTTGTCCTGGTTCAGTTTTTGGTGGAACAAGTATTTTGATTTCGATATCTTTGGCTACGATAAAAAGGACTGGGGTGCTCGTCGGAAATTTTGAAACGAGCCCCTAA